AAATTTATAAACTAGTGTAAATAATACAATTCAAAACTTCAACTAGCTCGGTCAGTTTGTGGTTCACTATTTTTCTATTTTGGCTATAATAAATGAGCTCACCATACAATAATTAGATGTAGCCAGTTTGCAAAAAGCCTTAGAAGCTTACATATTACTACAACCTAGACATAAAAGCAACAAGAGGTTATGAGAAGCACCTTTTGGTACTTCAGAACTTCTGAGTGCCTTATTCGAAGGGTGAAGCACTCTATTCTGCAACCAACTTTGCACCTAAGACAATTGCAATAGAGTAGGGCTCTAAAAATGATTAATCAAGGACACCTTATGGTAACAATAGTAACAAGAATATCATGGTATTATACTACAATAAAAGTAAAGGAAGAGAGAGTGAATGAAATGTACAACCTTAGTCCATTTCACAATTGGTTTCCCAGCACGACCGGCGGAGTGACTGCATAAGCATAAGAATCAGTACAATATGAAATTCTAACCATGAAATGAAACTCACTTAAAACATTTTGCAATATTTTGACAAAATTGTCACTTTAGCACTTGTTCTCCTAATTCCCTCAGCAATCTCTCCATTTTTTGAGTCTGTTCATAATGGTGGTGGAAAAAACCAAATAAAAGCAAAGCACAATTAATTTCAACAGATAATCTCTCCATTTTCTAAGTCTATTCAACAAACATTTATTATTTACAAAACCAATAAAGACCAAGAAGAAAAAATTGAGAAAAACTTACTACAAGAAAACATGCCTTTTGTGAAGAGGGGTAGTCGTCACTGAAACATGGAATTTCGTCACAGTTGAGTATATGTGACGCAATTTTAGCGTCACAACTTTCGTCACCTATACCCCGTCACCGATTCTCCCACGTGACGCTTTCTCTCTTCGTCACATATACCCGATATGTGTGACACATACTGCGTCACTATACGTCGGATTATGTGGCTATCCGTTAGTAGCTTCCTACAGCTATTAGTGATGCATGATTTGGGTCACGGTTTAGCTGCATCTGTGAGGAGTAATTCCTCTCCTAAACTTGGTATAAAAAGCTCCTTCCTATACAATACGTGACCCTTTAGGTGTCATATATTTATGTAGTGTGTGATGACGTGCGCATCACATATTTTTTAATGTGTGACGATGCACATGTCGCATTATTTTGTAGTATGTGACGATGTATACATAAGATGTCTTTTTAATTGTGACGATATTGGCATCACATATTTCTTCAGATTGTGATGAGGTCTGTGTCACACATGTTCCATACCAAGGTACCTAATTATGAATAATATGTGCAAATCCAATCACAATTCTCAATTCTCATCCTTTTCAATGTATAATATAAAAATAGATAATCGCATTTTCATTAATAAAAAAGTAGGTAATTACATTGTATGTTCCAAAATAAAGATCCCAAACTAAGTCTACACTTTGTACAACTAAAAGTAAGTCTAGAGAGTAAGTGTGTTCCAAAATAAAGATCCCAAACTAATTCTAGACTTTGTACAACCAAAAGTAAGTCTAGAGAGCAAGTGTATGTTCCATATGGATATAATCCCTAAATAAGTTCTCATCAAGATTCTGGTTTGCTAGTTCATCATAATAGTCATCATCAATATGGACACCATTACTACCTCTAGAGCTGGTGCTGGTCTGGCCATGAGATGCAGCCAAAACAGACCTCAATTGGGCTCTCAAATCTTCCTTCTCCTTTTGCAAAGTGACTAAATTTGTTGATAGCATCTTGAGCTGATCATAAATTGCACTCAACTCAGAACTTGAAGCCATTGAAGAAGGAGTGGATGAGCTAGAGGTCTCCATGCAAGGAAAAACACCTACACCATGGATTGATCTTCCCCTTCTCCCGAGCTTCTCACCCATGATTCCAAACTCAGCATCTAATGGCACTTGTATCGAATCAGGTGCAGTACACTCAGGAGCTTCTTGAATCAACTTCTCCCTAATCTCATCTTGCATTTTCTTCATCTCATCCTACAAAATAAAGTTTTAGAAAAACCACACAATTAACCAACATTACTGACTTGAGTGCACAACACATATGACCATAAATCCACACCTGGAAAATTAAATGGAGCAAAAAACCTTGTACAACTTTCCTGTACTAATTATAATTAAAATTGGAGTTTTATTTTTAGTTCATAACATCAAACAAGATAAGATGTCGTCAAACCTGCATTAAAGTGAAAAAAAAAATATGAATTTTAATCTCTAGAATCCCCCCACTGAAGTTTTTATTTTGTAGTAGACTTAATTAGTATGACTTGTCTGAAATCTTGCTTTTTTTATGTTAATGAATTTTGCTCGGTAAACAAGGTTGACCATGCTAAGCACCAACCTAATTCCCACAAGCAAAATTGTTCATCTCAAGGCTAGGACTCAAGTTTACATCTTTGACATCTCGGACAAGGAAGAAAATTCCAGAAATGTAGTAAATATAAATACAAACAAAAATACAAATAGAGGTTAAAAAAATCTGTTATAGTGTTTGATTGCAACCAAGTTTAGAAAATAGAAAGCATGGACATCTATTGTTAACAATTTAACTAAAAACAAGGCATTGCATACCACACATATTGTCTTCTCATATGACTACATTGATTCAATCAACATATTGGTACAAATAACTAAAGAGATACCCAAAATAAAAGGAAAAGGAGACAATCTCCGAGCCAACAAATCACTACCCCGCATTCCAAAATATTGGTTCAATCGACATATTTTTTAAGCATTGTTACCAGTTATATATACAAGGGATATTAATTGTGTATTTAGTACTCACCTTGGGAGATGCAATACTGGATTCCTTAGTTGACCTATCAATGTCAAATGCCGCTTGACCACATTTGTTCATGGAACTTTGATGCACTCTTCCATCCCACATCAAGTAATACATAATCCAAGTCTTTCTTTCTGTGGTTGCGAGATGCAAAGGCGTGTTTCCAATGACATCAGGCTGATTTATGAGGCACTCCAGTTCTGGTGTTTCTAGTATATACCTGACCACATTTGCTCTGCCACCAACGATCGCCATATGAAGAGCATTCTGTCCATATAGGTCACAAATTTCTCCCGAGTCTGGGCAATGTCGGATGATCTCTCTAATCACAGAGGTATGACCTTTGCTGGCTGCAACATGAATTGATGAATGGCCCTCTTTGTCCAAAACATATGCAATAGAAGTATCAAGTTCTAGTAATCGTTTAACTGTTCTATGTTGGCCAAGGGATGCTGCATAGAAGAGAGGAGTTCTGCCTTGGTGATCAGTTTCTTTGATTAGCTGCTGTTTGAATTGTAGGAGTGATTCCACGATGTCTTACCATGACAAATATTGAGTTTGAGTTTGAGTTTAAATAATGAAAATACAGAAGTTGTGAAACTAATATGACCCTATGTTCAATATATATGTGTATACGTGTTTGTGTGATTGGAATTTTATTCTATGAAACTTCAAATACCAAATGCATCTATCTGAAGTTAAAGTCCATAAAGAATTGTAAGGAGTTGGATATTATAATAGTTGCTGAAAAAGTGTGCAAAGTTAAAACATCCATTGCTAAAACAGCTAGAACAGAACTACGCCAAAGTATGAGATAATAAAATGCTTCTCAACCACAGCTGCATGCAAGGCTGTTCTGCCATCTGACCCGCCATGAGTTGATGATGCAGTTGATTTTAAAATGATTATATATTTAAATATAAAGACTATAAACGATTTGATTAAAATGAATATGAAATTTACAAAAGACAAAAAATGTAGATAACCTAAAGAATAGTTTTTTATTATTTAAAAAAACATAACAATTTGGCACTAAATAATACCTTTCCAAAGCTAAAACTATGAGTTCCACCAGTAGATTGTGTAAAAAGTCTATCTTGATCACAGTGCAGGGGATTCCTGAGGCCACCAAGGCAAATTCAAATTTTTATTTTGCAATTCATAGTCAAAATGTAAATTCAAAGAGGACAAAAGCCCCATCATCAAAACAAATAGAAAGTATGTTGATAGCGTTGCTAGAATATGATTTGGTTGTTTCATCTCTTTTCCTTTTCTATTGCTATTTCATGTTTGAGTCCAAATAGGTTAGTAGATGACACAAAAAAAACGTTGATTGAATGTAGACGATTAAGCTAAAAGCATGCAACTGGGATAGAAGTGTAGATTTAAAGAAAATTGAGTTTTAACCATTATAAGGCACAGCTATAAATCTGTGTCAAAGGGGCAAATGGAGTTGGGCTACTTTGTAATCTGCCTGGAGTGAGTCAAGCCTATCGTGGGTTGTGACACACGGGGGTAGTAATGACACGTTGTGCAGAAAAAAATCATTTTATTTGAAAGAAACAATGTAATTGGTAAGCAGTGAACACCAGGGGATATCAAAGATAATTTAATCCAGATTGCCATTAGTTAATCCTCAAACTTAATATGTTGTGTATTCCAAGTTCATTCAGACATTGTTACATGTCAAGAAATAAAGAAGATGCTTTACATAACCAGATAAAACATGCTGAGAAATGAGAGGCATCACGAAGAACAGAAATCTAACCTCAGGGAGTCTGACAGCAAAATATTTATGAAATCCCTTCCGATATTCTTTACAATACTGTCCAAAAGATAAAGTTATGGTAACTTCTGCTCACTAAAAACCTGCAAATTACTTTCTACAATTAGATACGAAACACTAGTTACAGCCAATATTGTTTGAACAAATAAGTGACTGATAAACCAAAGACACATCTCCAGACACCAGATAATCCTGAGACAGCTTAAGCTAGAATGGCATCACCCTATGACTAATTGCAGATGATGTTGAGGAAAGAAATATGTGAACTCTCTGCCTCTCTGCCTCTGGGTTTGAAACAAAACTTCAAACTTTTTTTTTTGTGGGTATTTTTTGTATTAGCAAATATATTTTTTTCATGGGAAAGTTTATAATTAAGAAAAGAAAGAAAGGAGCAAAATTATTGCATCTGAAATGGAACTTTAATAAATTTGACTATTAATTTCTCTAAGTAGAAAAACAGAGAATTAATTCAAAAGATGGTGAATGCAAAGTCCAGGGCAACAACCAATTGAACATATGACAACATTATCTTATATCAAATTGAATACTTGGGATATATAAGCCGAAATCTACACCACTGTCATTGAACATAAGAGTATTAAATTCCGAAAAAAAATTGCCAAGATTCATAGAAGAGTCAAATTGTCAAAATACAAATGACAAAAGTCCTAGTCAATTGTAGAATTAATTCAGTCAATTGTCAAGATGAGAAATTGGTCACTAACAATATAATCTTGAAAATTCATAACGGTCCCCAATTTTATCAAATTGGTGAACTGATGTGTAGTAGACATAGTCATTTTCTTTTTACTTTTTTCAATTTAAGATGACAGAGTTGTAGTTTGGTTTTGTTGTTAATGAGATTTGTATCAAGATGATGGTGGAATAGTAGTTCACAAAGTCTTTGTAACGCAAGGATGCATACAAGTGTGTTAGTTGAAATGAGATATAAAGTCATGTCTGCACTTACAGATAAGACATTCTTCAGCACAGATGCAATATTTAACATCAGGTAGAAGGAGAACCCCGATAACATTGCTATAAACGGGTAACTTGACAGCTGAGGTATTGTGATAATCTGCATTATGGGAATCATGTGCCGGAAAAAAAAGAGCCACAAAGGTAAAGAATAGTATAGGTCAGTACGCATTACGTCGAAAGACATTTATCATGAAAAAAAAAAATGCAGAAGCTACAACAATGCAAAGGGAGTAGGAGCTGAAAAATTACCCTCCAATGCAAGAATCATTACAGGACCAAGAAGCCTTTCCACAAATGGGTATATGGTGATTTGGAACACAAAAAGACCAAAACCTACAAGTTGATAAAATCGACAGCGATTATTGAGCATGTGTAGATTTATTTACATAAATCAAAAATTGAAACTGTATCAAATGCTCTATCTTTTGAGTGAAATTATTGTCAAAATAAGTTATTCTACAATTTCTCATCTAGTCAAATTGTCAAAATAGAATTTCTCATATTTGGCCATGTTCAGATTACAAATTAAAGCATGAATCAAAACAACACAAACAACGTAAAAGAAACTTACCTTTCGAATATATACATGCATCATACATCAACTTTTGAAATATATTTCAATTTATACGCATATCGTAAATAATATTGGCTAAAGTAGTCAAGAGGATACATTATACACGTGATGTCTGCAATTTCTTTCTTCTATATAAAGACCAAGTGAGAGAGAGAGAGAGAGAGAGAGAGAGTTATATAATTTTCACCAGGCTCTAGCTAATTTCATACAAATTACAAAGGTACGTTATACAACTCTCAATTGAACAATACATAATATATGGCTCAAATAGCAAACATAGAAGTCCAAACCGAGATCAAAGCCAGTGCTAACAAGTTCTACGAAATCTTTCTTAGCAAAGGGTACCTTTTGCCCAAGATCTGCCCTAATATTATAAAGGATCTACAGGTGCTTAAAGGTGACGGCAACTCTGTGGACTCAATCAAGCAATGGACTTACTTTGCTGCAAGTAACAAATATAATATTAATTACTATTATAATATACTGGAGTGATAAAATAATCATTATAAACTGCTCTTATATTGTCATACATTCAATCATAACTGTCAATTTCATAGCTGGACTATTATTTATCATAAACCTAACCTCCACCTTAATTAATTGGTTCTCTAAAACCATGATAGGAAATTTTTCTGAGGTTTCGAAAGAGAGTTGAATCCATAGATGAGAAAAACAAATCAATCGCCTTCTGAACTGTAAAAGGAGAGGTCACGAAACACTACAAGAGTTTTAAGGCGACAGTTCAAGTTACAACAGGGGGTGATGGATACAGCCACAACAGCAGCTCGTCAGTGAAATGGAACATAGAATACCAGAAGCAGAATGAGGCTGTTCCGGCTCCTAATAAGTATCTAGACTTTGTGGTCATTCTCACTAACAATGTTGATGCCTACCTTCTCAATAATGCATAACAGATGCATAACAAATTAAAGCATGAATCAAAATTAACGAAGAGCACTGCAATGCCCATTAGAAATTTCTATTTTACCTCAAATATACAGAAAAAGCCAACAAAAAGATATCAAATAAAAGTCAACAATTGAACAGGGAAATAACAATCAACAATTTAACAATCAATGAAGAAATTTCTATTTACCTATGGGTTTTTTAGAGTGGGGGTCAAGGGGATGAGAGATTACAAGTGGAAGGTGGCCTTAATTAGCTATGGTCATTGTCGAGGGAATAGATTGAAATGAGAATTTGTTGGTGATTGAATGTGGGAGACAATGGGTCACT